CACATGACTTGCAGTACTCGCTGATGTCAGCATACATTCCAGTCCAGTAAAATCTAGATCTCACTAGACTGACTGTCCTGTCTACGCCCTGATGTCCTGACTGCTTATGGAGTTGTGCCATAATTTGGTCTTGTAAACACTTAGGTAACACGAGCTGTCGCAACTGGCCTTGTTGGGGGTCGTTTACTCTGCGGTATAGGTGACCTTGGTTTAACTCCATTCTCTCCCATTGTCGAAGCATGTCAATAACAACTCGTGTCTCTCCCTCCCTTTCTTTCTTAGACGGCTTTCGTCCAATAAGGAAATACTTCAAAAATCTTGAAATAATAGGGTCCTGGCTCTGCATTTTGATGATATCTTCTGGGTCATAACTGGGGAAGGAAAACACACTAGAACATACTGCTGTTGGATGTAGTGTCTTAGCACGGTCTTCACATCCCTCGATTGCTGATGCAAGGGCCTTAACTCTAATGTCACATGGAAGTGTACTGCATGTATTTGGCACAATGGATGAAACAGAATCACATCTGGAAATTCTTGACAAGGCATCAGCCGCAGTGTTCTCCTTTCCCGGTCGGTACTTGATGGTAAAGTTATATTGTGCTAGTTGCATGGCCCAACGTTGCTCCGTAGCTCCCAGTTTTGCGCTTGTTTGGAGATAACTTATGGGGTTATTGTCTGTCAGGATTTCAAATGTTGATCCCCATAGGTAATCCTTGAACTTCTCGGTCACAGCCCATTTAACCGCAAGCAGTTCAAGTTTAGCAGAGCTATAGTTAGAGTCATTGCGCTCTGTAGGACGGAGAGTGCGACTAGCATAGGCAAAGACACGACGTTTTCCTTCCTGCTCCTGCATCAGAACCGCACCCAACCCATTCAAACTCGCATCTTTCTCCAGGACGAATGATTTGGAGTAATCTGCAAACCCCAACACATCTGTGGATGTCAGCTTATCTTTCAGCGTGTTGAATGCAGTGGAACACTCTGGTGTCCATAACTGTTTCAGTTGTCCATTCGTCTTTTGAGGATTCTTCTTGTTGAAAGTGGCTATCAGTCCATACAATGGCTTTGCAGTATGAGCATATTTCGATACAAATCTACGATAGTAGCTTGAGAACCCTAGAAATCCTCTCAGTTCCTTAAGCGTCATAGGGAGTGGCCAATCTTTTACAACTTTTACTTTATCCTCAGATGCAGAAATCCCCTCCTTGGAGACTGTGTAACCAAGATACTGCACCTCCTGTTGAAAAAAGTGGCATTTACGTGGATTGAGTTTAAGGCCATGTTCCCGCAGCTTAGCGAACACCAGGTCCAATCTCTGTAGATGTTCATCTAAGGTCCTAGAGTATACCACTATATCATCGAGGTAAACCAGTAAATTCTGGAAAACTGTGTCACTGAAGATCTGCTGCATAAGTCTTTGAAAACTTGCTGGTGAATTGCAGAGGCCAAATGGCATACGGCGATATTCATATAATCCGAAAGGAGTCGAGAAGGCAGTTTTGTGTCGGTCGTCTGGATGCATGGCTATCTGATGGAAGCCGCTTGCCAGATCCATGGTGCTAAACAGTGTAGATCCATGAAGGGCATCAAGGGACTCCTCAATCCGTGGGAGAGGAAAAGCATCTCGAATTGTGCGATGGTTTAACTTCCTGTAGTCAACACATAGTCTAATGGTATTGTCCTTCTTGCGTGCAACGACTATTGGCGCAGCATAAGGACTCTTGCTCGGCTGGATTATGTCCTTCTCTAGAAGTTTTTGTATGTGGTTTTTAACTTCTTGATATTGGTTTGGTGGTATTCTCCTGTACGGCATGCTTATAGGCTCATCGTCTGTTAAATTAATACGGTGCCTCACAGTCTCAGTGCATCCCAAGTCCAGGTCATTCTTCACAAAGACATCAGAATTCCTTGAGAATAAGTCTAAAATTTTCTGTCTTTCTTCTGAAGTGCATTCCATGTCCTCTGGGACGAGTGAGGATGCATCAAAAGCTGGAGGATCTCCGGTTATGTCATCATGCAATACAACCGTTTCCTCCCTTACTCCTGTAGACAGAAACTCCGCTTTAGCTCGAGGTGCTGTGTCAACATCACATTCAGACACTAGAGCCACACGACTATTCTTCTTTAACCAGACGTCATTGTCCCTTGGATTCATGACTTGGATGGGAAAAGTTTGTCGGTCACTGACACACACAGAGTTTAATGCTATAACCCCAATGTTGTTTACTATTGGCTCGATGCACACAGTTTGTTTACGTCCAGGTTTACAATGAGGTCCAACAACGTTGATGAAGGATACCGAATTCGATGGAATACACACATCCTCGTTTGCAGAAATCCTAGCAAAGCCCTTCACTTCCCCAACTCTTGCTTTGGCCTCGATTGTGTTAATATATGGGACATCAGACAGGAATAGGTCGCGACACTGTGAGATAATGTTCATACCTAAAAGCCCAGGTACCTCCCTGCCACTCACATCCTTGACTATCAGAATTCCACGGTCTTTCACTGTGTGTCCATGCACCACTATATCAGTTTCAATATATCCTATATAAGGGATATCCAGTCCATTAGCTGCTCTTAGAGTTATAAATTGTTCTTGAATCATAGGGATAGTTGACAAATATTTATCATAAAATGACTCTGTGATAGTGCTTACCATAGAACCAGTGTCTAATAAACATTTAATGTCGATATTGCTAATAGTGATGACTACTGTTGGACAAGGTGCAATTACGTTATAACTGTTCGAGGCAATTGTTGAACCCACTGCACGGCTCTCTGCAGTGGGCACCACTAGTTTCCCTTCTTGGGGCAATTTCTCTTTATGTGCCCCTTCTCTTTGCAGTGGTAACACTGCACTGTCTTTGAGCGTGCTCCTTTTATGTCTGATAGCTCTTTCCTCAAGTCACTCATTTCATTTCTAAGAGTCTTGATGAGTTCTTTCACATCATCATCATGATTATTTGCTTTTTCTGCATACAGTGTGGCTTCTGTTTTCTTTTTCGGCTCCTCTTGATCTTGGGCCAGGACGATGGTTTCTTCTCTCAAATCATGAAAAGTCATCATTTCGTTTGTGCGGACAATTCTTTTCAGCTCTCTACGGAGCCATGGCTCATGTACATTTTCTGCTAACTGGTCCCGTAACATAGAGTCTCTTTCTTTCTCACGCGATTTGTCTACCCTAAGGATCCGCTCCAGTTTTCCCATCAATTCTACCGAGAAGTCTTGTAGAGACTGACTGCGTGCTATAGAACTCAGACAACAATTCAGACACAGTTGCTCGTTCGCCAAAAACTTCCTTCAGAATCTCCAGGACAGCTTCTGGACTCTTCTTCTCTTCTGTCGGGCGGAATCGCATCTCTTCTCTCGCAGGTCCCTCAAGATGGCTAAGGACAAAGTCTACTTGTTCTTCCTGTGGTGTAGGCCGTGCCTTGAGGATTCTGGTCATCTCCTCTGTGAATTCATATACAGATACACCTTGACCTTTCTTTCCTGAGAACTTTTCCACTTTCCGCAACTTTGGGGCAAACACAAGCTGTTGTCCTCCCTCAGTTGTTGCATTCTTCTCCAGCTTGACCCTTTCAAGTTCAGCCCTCAGGGCCTCCAACTGGGCCTTGACATCCCTTTTGCTCATCTTGATGCTGCTTTCTATCCACCACCACCTTTAGAACAGTACCGGCGACGCCATTTGTGAACGAGTTGGTTCAGTTTTCATTGTTTATTAACATAAAAAAAGGTGGCAGTGTACAAGGAAACCTAACATGTGGCTAAGCAGGCAGTAAACAAGATCTAGCGACAGCTGCCATGTGAGGGGAACTCTTTCACAACGCATAAAATTAAAACCCGTGCAGACGGAAAAATATGTTCCGGTGCACTCTACTACAGTTGGTTTGTATCTAAAGCATAAAAAAATGTTCCGACATTATAGCTCCTTTACTTCCTGTTAAATCTTTTACATTACAATGTTCAACTCCCATGAGTACTTTCAGTACTTTGATTGTTATCTATCTGCTATGTGTATGTGAACACCACTGCGCTTGTTACTGTAAAAAGTTATCGCACTTTATCAACGGAATTACACTTGTCTTTATTCCGTTTGCAGATTTTGAAATAACTTTCTTGCTGACAGAGATTTTATGTTGTAGAGACAAATGATGTTATAATTTATACAATAGCTTGAACGAATAATTTTCATTAGCTTACAAAATAGTATTATTACATGCTAATTATTTTTAAAAGATAGGTAAGCTAGCGCTGTATCCATTAATTCAATACACAGAAGTAGATTTTGAACCATTGGTTTATTTTGCTGAATCGTTTAATTTTTGATAAGTTAGACAGCAGTTAGACAGAGGTTCCCTTCCCCTTTTATGAGAATGGACTTTTGCTGTAAAATTAGTATGGAAATTTTTCACTCGAGGGCCATTTGCCCAAACCCCACCCTCTTTTTGCAGTGTATGCTCATACACGACCACATTTTCGTAGTAGGTTTTTTTCTTCTGAAAACGAGACTTAGACCCTCGCCCCTGGAACAAAATAACATTTTTGAATTTGTTAAGGTTTTGTTTTCTATTTTGACCTTTGATTGTCAACACAACACAGCCCCCCCCCCCCCCGCCCCCTCTGATATAGATTTTTGGATTTGGGGAGGGTTGTTTTGTGTGAAATATTTCTCCTCCTTTCAAAATCTATACTACATGTACATTGTTGGGGAGTTGTTTCTCAAAAATAATATATTTCTGAAAACTTACAGAAATTAAGTTTCCTTTTTTGTTGTAAGTTTCCAAACTGACAGTGTGTGTGTTTTCAAATTTCGGTGATTTACTCGAAATTGACATTATGTATGTTTTCCCAGAATATCCTACCGTGAAATCGAGCATGCGCTTTCCTGCCAAAAAAGACTAAGGTAGTTGCTAGCGCAATAGAGCACTAGTAATTATAAATTTTAAACTTGCAATGAACAGGAAATTATAATGATTGCTATTATATTTCAGGAGTTTACAATGATCTTTCGCATTTTATTGGTATTGGCCGTGGTGTCTCTTGCCGATGGTTGCAGCGTATGGTATCAAAAGAACACATGCACTTGCCGGTGTGAAGATTTCTTCGACATCTGTGAAAATGGCTGCAAAAATATAGGAGGTATCTGGGGTATAACTTGTTCGTACAACTGTGCTAAACTTCTTTCGAGCTGTTTGAGGAATTGTCCTTAAAATTTTGTTGAATTATTACCTCAGAAAAAGAAAAAATAATAAATGATTTGAAGATGCACATCAACCAGCGACAGACTGTGAATTCTGAAATATCCTCAATACACTGACTTAAATTAAAAATGTTTTTTTTTTTAAATTGAAACCTTTCCAGGCTATAACTTTCCCTCTATGATACTAAATATGATTTGTGATGTTCATCTAAAATACTATTACCATCTTTTTCTGTAATTGGAATAAACTACTGTGCAAATCATTTGTGCATACTTATTTTGTATCATTTAAAATGACTTTCTTTTTCTTAAAACCTTAATTTATGTAAAATAGTTTGAAAAATTTTTATTATTGAAAAAAAGCCCTACAGATTAATGCGCGCAAACGTTTGTGTGACCTTTTCGCACTTAGCAATACAGATTTAGAGTATTAAAAATTTAGATAGGCAACAAGAAATTTTCAAGCAAAAAAAAAATTAATTTAAAATATTAATAAAAATCTATATTTAATATCCGTAGCATATAATAATGAAAACAATTCTTTGAGTAATAATATGTAAGATCCAAGAAATTAAGTTTGACAAATGTATAAATTTGAAGAATTTTCTTCTAAATATCCTTCCAGCACAAAAAGTAGTCCACCATAAATCTTGTATCTTAGTGATTCTGAGAGGTGTTTTTTAATTGAATATTGTATAATTTGCATTGTTTAAGGATCTTCTATACACTGAAGGAAATTATTTTTTGGACATTGAGAAAATTATAGTGAGTAAAGGTGTAAATATTGACCTTATCTATTGCATTTTCAACATGGGGTACCTTGAATTTACCCCTAGGAAAAATGTTCAGAGAAATTGAATACTAATAAACATAAATCACTGTTACTTACTTAAGTGGGCAAAATACCTACGAATGAAGTGTTCATTCAATTCATCTTGGCCTATTAAAACGTTATGAATGCTTGATTTGACCAAGTTCAGTATATAATAAACTGTACATTTCAATTTATTTTATTTAAGTTCAAAGGGCAGATTACTCTAGCTGCATAAAAATAAAACGAAATCAGAACTCTTTAGTGTGCAATATATAGAGGGTTCTTAATTCAAATATTTTATAAAAATTGAATTTTAATAGATAGTTTTGAAGTTAGAGGTTCAGATCAAACTTTTCTCAAAAGCTGACGAGTGCCATACCTTAATACAATCTTTAAAAAAGAAAAGAATTGGTGTTTAAATGGTCATTGCATGGGATATTAAACGACAGATAGTTTTTTCTTTGCAATCTACGTTTTTTCTTGAACCTTTTTCTATAGACATGTTTTAATTGATTGTTATTTAAGTAAAATTGTCTATAAACCTGCGAAGTATGTTTTCAGTAACACAGTTATTTGAATATTATGAAGGAAAAATGATCATCTAAGTTTTCGAAACCGAAGTGTGACAGAGTCACTACTGCCCTGAATTTTTTTTCTCAATAACGTTCTTTAAGCAACTAAGGGTATCTTGTTTCATAATCTGAATATTTTTACGAAGAACTTCAATTCAAGGACATATCTTCTTTTCGTTCAAATGACATACATTTATCTTCTCTTCGTTCCCATCATATATATATATAAATATATATATATATATATATATATATATATATATATATATATATATATATATATATATATATATATATATATATATATATATATATATATCGAACTCCGAAGAAAAGATATGTTCCGGCTTAAATATGTTGTTTATTTTTCATTTTAAGGGTGTTTCGTTTATTTAGAGTGGAGTAACTAATCAATACATATAAAAATATGTGTGCAATTAAGCGTCATCAACTATTTCGAATATAATAAAGTGAATAATATATATAATTATATAAATAAGAAATTCAAAATATGATTAATTGAAAACGGATGAGATCAAAATTTCTTTTTCAGTTTTCACTTAAATAACTGATGGTAAAAGTTCATCAATATTTTTGGGTTTAGACACATAAAAGTAAAGTGCATTGACGTTATAAAGACTAATTTAAAAGCAATTCATTCGAAGTAAATAAGAGTAGGCCAATAAATGGAGGAAAGCTTTTTTTTAATTGTTTATTTGAAATGATTGACAAAGGTTGTCTTTAGAAAACAATCGATCGTGATGTAATAACAACTGTTGTTATACCTTTAAAAATTGTTTCCTATACAATCCTTTACTAAGAAAAAGTCTAACATTTCCAATGTTTTACTAAGCGGTCATAAAAAAATCGATGTTTGACCGCAGAGCGAGATATTGGACCTGTGGATGAGATGTTGGACCGCTTACGTCACAGTGTGGACGGGGTCAGCTGTATCTTATTTGCATTCGTTGGAGTTCGACATAACTTAATTGACCAAGTTTATACCGCAGTGTGGGTAAACAAAATTTACATCAAGTTATGTCAAAATAAATGTATATTATTTATAAATTGTAATGCAGCTTGAATATAAGGGGAAAAAATGCATAACTTTAGATTTCTGTTAAGACGAAAGACAAATTGAATATTTCCAACTTGGTCAGTTATTTCTTCCATATTTATATTTTCACTCCAAAATATTGAAACACATGCCCAAACATTGTAAGGGAATGTATCCAGTTTTCCTGAAAAATATATACATGTAGTTAACGACAGATGTTATGTTAAAAATTACAGTATAGGTAAAATCAACGCATGACTGTAAATCATACATGTATGTGTTGATAAAATTCAATTATGTCTATGCACAATTTTAACAACAAGAATTTAAGCGGAAGGCCGGATTACCAAAATAAAATAAAATAAAATAAAATAAAATAAAAAATAATAAACAAAAACTCTCCTGATCTAAATCTGTTTAACTTATCTAATCTAATCGAGCCTTTTTATCTCAATGCAATAGAGGGAGAGAGAGAATGTAAATATTCGTTAAATAACTCAACATATGTCAACAAAACACAGAGGAACACTCTGTTGGAGCATTAGACATTTTCTCAGCATTTCAAGTATAATCCAATTTGAATATTATAATACATATTTTGATATTGACAATAACCGTTTCAATAAAAAATAACACAGGGACACACTACATTCTCCCATATTAACTGAATTTCCCTCTACTTCAAGTTCAGTGAAGAATTAAAAGTTCTTTATATGTTAACGGTATATTTAATATTCTAAATTATTCAAATATTTATTTAGTTGTATCAATCATTCTCAGCTGCATTTTACAGATTTACAGCTGTGGCCCACACACAAAAAAACATAGCTTATCTGTCTTTATCATTCAACCTTATTTTAATGATCATCATGCTGAATTTGAATTTTAATGATTTAGATATATCATCCGTCAACCGAAAAAAAAATTCAATGGAATGAAATTTTCAGTTTAAAGAAAAGTAAATTTTGTAACATTTCTGGAATTGCAAAAGCTACAAGTGCTGATTAGAACGGGAACCGTTACAGATGTTCCCAAAAAGTGCTTCTCAATCTCTTTTAATGCACATTCCCTAAAAGTTAAATCTAATTAGCAAATACTTTTGTACATGTATCATCGATGTACACTGTATTTTCAAGAGTATTTTATCGGAAAACTACTCCGATATACCAATCAAATTTCGGCATTTTATAGATTTTTCGCACATATTTTCTTATATTGTCTCACAAAATATATCTTTCAAAGATTTTCATTGACAAATAAGAGAAATGTAACCCTTTAAGTATTAGCCAATCAGGATTTAGCACACGCGTCTACATAGCCTTGCATTCAGTTTTGATGGTACTATAATGTAGTACCCCATTAGGCATATTTACATCTTAAATTTCATCCTTTTTTTGAAAACCAGGGAAGTTATGGCCATTTGAAGTTTAATTCAGCCAATCAAATTGCAGCACACGTGCATGCAAGTGTTTTCAAAAAAACTTCGTATATGTTATATTGTAGATCCTCATAATATGTACTTACATTTTAAATTTGATAGCATTTCCAAGAAGCAAGAAAGCCAATCAAACGAAGCACAAGTGCATGTATTCCTGCTAATTCAACCATGACATCTTGTTTGAACTATGTTTGATTACGTATGAACTGAGTTTCAAAGCATTTCATAAAAAGATGACAGTTAAAGCTGTTTTAATTAAGACAGTCATTTCAGTCATCGCACGCGCACATGCATGTGCGAGCAAAATGAGTTTTGTTCCGTACAACTACACAACATGTCTAAATGGTTCATCTCAATCGGGTGAGTACATTGTAGTTTCTGAGAACACTCGCGGACAAAAGAGTGGAAAAAGTAGAAAAGATAGAAAAGATGAATTACCAGTAAGAAACAAAGTAAAAACAATCTCTTCCAAACTTCGTTTTGGGAACATAATTGACGAAAAGACTGAGAGATTCGATAAGAATATCTAATACCTTTCATGAGATTAAAAGAATTTGCTTCCTACAAAGGAAAATTGCTAAGTAACACTAAGTTTGACAATAAGTAAGCATTGGCAGCAAATATCGCAATAACCGTTATAACAACAAACGTTATATCCAAACGGTGTCCAATAGCTATCCAATCTTTCTTCTGTGCCCAGATCAACAGATCCCGACAACATGCTTTTGAAATTTCTTGGTTTTTCAGTTGACTTAAATTGTAGATATGCAGGCTGATAATTACAAATATTTGAACAACACACCCAATGCAAAGATCTGTGAAAAGTTTCTTGGCTACGACAGAAATGTTGGGTTCGGATGATTTTGGAATTTGATCGGTAATAATTGTCAAGTATACAGCTATTGATAGAAGAACAGTGATAGAATAACTCGCTCTTTCACCACAATCCCATGGCAACATAAAAACAAAAACTTGGAGAATTTCCATAAGAATTATTGGCATGATCAAAAATAGTACATAATATGTTGAACGGCGGCTGATTTCAAACTCAATTTTAAGTATTGGAATTTTAGACGAATCCTTTTTTGTGTTAAGGGTATTAAGACTTATTCTGGTGTCTTCCATATTCCAAAGGTTGTTTTTCTCATAACAATCCAGGTTAACTTTGTTGTGGTATGGATATAGGATAACTTCTTCCATATAGTACCCCCAAACAACAAGATCAATCGAGCAATTTTGTGTGTCGTATGGAAAATAGGTGAAATCTGCTTTGCATTCCGATGTGAATATATCCCCTTTCAACATTAATGCCGATCCACTCGGTAAAAACATGACTGATTCATCGTGCAGTTTTTCGGAATCGGATCTGCTGTATGGATTAA